CCTGGTAAGTTGCCGGGGCTGAGCCTGACCAAAGGATAGGCCGAGCAGCCCCCAAGCACTCACCGCACCCGGCTACGGGCGAGCTCGGCTTACGGGCATTCCCAAATGGGATAAAGTTTCCCGTCTAGTCCGGATCAGGGGGTTGCGGCGTGGAGGAAGATTTGAGTTTCCTGAGGATATTTTGAATACAGAAGTTCTTTATGAAACATGAAACATGTATTTTATATTATTTTAACGGTCAAAACAGCGGTCGATGTCGGTCCGACGTCGCACCGACGTCGGCCCGACGTCGGCTGGACCTCAGCAATTGATCTCGGTCCGACGTCGGCCCGACGTCGGCTGGACCTCGGCTGGACGTCGGAACATGCGGGCATATCCGACATCCAGCCGACGTCGTGCCGAGGTTGGACCGACGTCGGGCCGACGTCGGCATGCCGATGCCGAGTTGCCGACGTCACCCCGACGTCGGCCGACGTCGGGCCGACGTCGGCATGTTTACTGGGTAGGAATCCGCTGAAAATCCCTACATAGGAGTAACTTGGGGCGTAGAGTCGCGTGGTGCAATCTGTTAAACCCTACACCAAATGCTTTTCCCGCTAGAGGGCAGCAAAGTTCCAGCGACAGATTCGCCGGACCCCTAGGAATCCGCTGAAAATCCCTACATGGGGGTAACCTGGGGCGTAGAGTCGCGTGGTGCAATCCGTTAAACCCTACACCTAATACTTTTCCCGCTAGAGGGCAGCAAAGTTCCAGCGACAGATTCGCCGGACCCCTAGGAATCCGCTGAAAATCCCTACATGGGGGTAACCTGGGGCTTAGAGTCGCGTGGTGCAATCCGTTAAACCCTACACCTTATACTTTTCCCGCTAGAGGGCAGCAAAGTTCCAGCGACAGATTCGCCGGACCCCTAGGAATCTGCTGAAAATCCCTTCATAGGGGTAACTTGAGGCGTAGATTCGCGTGGTTTCATTCGTTAAACCCTACACCTTATACTTTTCCCGCTAGAGGGGAGCAAAGTTCCAGCGACAGAATCGCCGGACCCCTAGGAATCCACTGAAAATCCCTACATAGGGGTAACTTGGGGCGTAGAGTCGCGTGGTGCAATCCGTTAAACCCTACACCAAATGCTTTTCCCGCTAGAGGGCAGCAAAGTTCCAGCGACAGATTCGCCGGACCCCTAGGATTCCGCTGAAAATCCTTACACAGGGGTAACTTGGGGCGCAGAGTCGCGTGGTGTAATCCGTTAAACCCTACACCTAATACTTTTCCGCTAGAGGGCAGCAAAGTTCCAGCGACAAATTCGCCGGACCCCTAGGAATCTGCTGAAAATCCCTACATAGGGGTAACTTGGGGCGTAGAGTCGCGTGGTGCCATCCGTCAAACCCTACACCTAATACTTTTCCCGTTAGAGGACAGAAAAGTTCCAGCGACAGATTCGCCGGACCCCTAGGAATCCGCTGAAAATCCGTACAGAGGGGTAACTTGGGGCGTAGAGTCACGTGGTGCCATCCGTTAATCCCTACACCTAATACTTTTCCCGCTAGAGGGCAGCAAAGTTCAAGCGACAGATTCGCCGGACCCCTAGGAATCCGCTGAAAATCCCTACATAGGGGTAACTTGGGGCGTAGAGTCGCGTGGTGCAATCCGTTAAACCCTACACCAAATACTTTTCCCGCTAGAGGGCAGCAAAGTTCCAGCGACAGATTCGCCGGACCCCTAGGATTCCGCTAAAAATCCTTACATAGAGGTAACTTGGGGCGTAGAGTCGCGTGGTGTAATCTGTTAAACCCTACACCTAATACTTTTCCCGCTAGAGGGCAGCAAAGTTCCAGCGACAGATTCGCCGGACCCCTAGGAATCCGCTGAAAATCCCTACATAGGAGTAACTTGGGGCGTAGAGTCGCGTGGTGCAATCCGTTAAACCCTACACCAAATACTTTTCCCGCTAGAGGGCAGCAAAGTTCCAGCGACAGATTCGCTGGACCCCTAGGAATCCGCTGAAAATCCCTACATAGGGGTAACTTGGGGGTAGAGTCGCGTGGTGTAATCCGTTAAACCCTACACCTAATACTTTTCCCGCTAGAGGGCAGCAAAGTTCCAGCGACAGATTCGCCGGACCCTTAGGAATCCGCTGAAAATCCCTACATAGAGGTAACTTGGGGCGTAGAGTCGCGTGGTGCAATCCGTTAAACCCTACACCAAATACTTTTCCTGCTAGAGGGCAGCAAAATTCCAGCGACAGATTCGCCGGACCCCTAGGATTCCGCTGAAAATCCCTACATAGGGGTAACTTGGGGCGTAGAGTCGCGTGGTGTAATCCGTTAAACCTTACACCAAATACTTTTCCCGCTAGAGGGCAGCAAAGTTCCAGCGACAGATGCGCCGGACCCCTAGGAATCCGATGAAAATCCCTACATAGGGGTAACTTGGGGCGTAGAGTCGCGTGGTGTAATCCGTTAAACCCTACACCTAATACTTAAATCCGTTAAACCCTAGGGGTCCGGCGAATCTGTCGCTGGAACTTTGCTGCCCTCTAGCGGGAAAAGCATTAGGTGTAGGGTTTAACGGATTGCACCACGCGACTCTACGCCCCAAGTTACCCCTGTGTAGTGATTTTCAGCGGAATCCTAGGGGTCCGGCGAATCTGTCGCTGGAACTTTGCTGCCCTCTAGCGGCAAAAGTATTACGTGTAGGGTTTAACGGATTACACCACGCGACTCTACGCCCCAAGTTACCCCTATGTAGTGATTTTCAGCGGAATCCCAGGGGTCCGGTTACCAAGTTACCCTTATTTCAGCAGAATCCTAGGGGTCCGGCGAATCTGTCGCTGGAATTTTGCTGCCCTCTAGCGGGAAAAGTATTAGGTGTAGGGTTTAACGGATTGCATCACGCGACTCTACGCCCCAGGTTACCCCTGTGTAGTGATTTTCAGCGGAATCCTAGGGGTCCGGCGAATCTGTCGCTGGAACTTTGCTGCCCTCTAGCGGGAAAAGTATTAGGTGTAGGGTTTAACGGATGGCACCACGCGACTTAACGCCCCAAGTTACCCCTATGTAGGGATTTTCAGCGGATTCCTAGGGGTCCGGCGAATCTGTCGCTGGAACTTTGCTGCCCTCTAGCGGGAAAAGTATTAGGTGTAGGGTTTAACGGATTGCACCACGCGACTCTACGCCCCAAGTTACTTCTTTATAGGGATTTTCAGCGGATTCCTAGGGGTCCGGCGAATCTGTCGCTGGAACTTTGCTGCCCTCTAGCGGGAAAAGTATTAGGTGTAGGGTTTAACAGATTGCACCACGCGAATCTACGCCCCAAGTTACCCCTATGTAGGGATTTTCAGCGGAATCCTAGGGGTCCGGCGAATCTGTCGCTGGAACTTTGCTGCCCTCTAGCGGGAAAAGTATTTGGTGTAGGGTTTAACGGATTGCACCACGCGACTCTACGCCCCAAGCTACCCCTATGTAGGGATTTTCAGCGGATTCCTAGGGGTCCGGCGAATCTGTCGCTGGAACTTTGCTGCCCTCTAGCGGGAAAAGTATTAGGTGTAGGGTTTAACGGATTACACCACGCGAGACTCTACGCCCCAAGTTACCCCTATGTAGGGATTTTCAGCGGATTCCTAGGGGTCCGGCGAATCTGTCGCTGGAACTTTGCTGCCCTCTAGCGGGAAAAGTATTAGGTGTAGGGTTTAACGGATGGCACCACGCGACTTTACGCCCCAAGTTACCCCTATGTAGGGATTTTCAGCGGATTCCTAGGGGTCCGGCGAATCTGTCGCTGGAACTTTGCTGCCCTCTAGCGGGAAAAGTATTAGGTGTAGGGTTTAACGGATTGCACCACGCGACTCTACGCCCCAGGTTACCCCCATGTAGGGATTTTCAGCGGATTCCTAGGGGTCCGGCGAATCTGTCGCTGGAACTTTGCTGCCCTCTAGCGGGAAAAGTATTAGGTGTAGGGTTTAACGGATTGCACCACGCGACTCTACGCCCCAAGTTACCCCTATGTAGGGATTTTCAGCGGATTCCTAGGGGTCCGCGAATCTGTCGCTGAACGTCAATGTCAATAATTCGCTAAGTATACAGACGTCCTTGAGCTCTATAGCCTAATTGGTTTTGAGTGGTTTTCGACGCGCGTGTTGGTGGTTATTGTTGTATGTTGATGTGGGTGTAGTGGGTGTTTCTCGATGATTGTTATGAATGGCAAGAGTCTTTTTATTTCTCAGTTCGTATTTCCGAGCCGTATGTTAATTTTTACCAGCTAAAATTCAAAGGTAACCCATGGAGCATCCGTCAAATTGCGCTGCAAATGTCGCGGTTGCGTCATATATATCTGAGGGCTGTTCACGGGCTCCTGTGTGCGGTCGGACCGTACACAGCCTCCAAGCTCCGCCCACTGTGTCCCTATGTCAGCCTTCCGTCACCGCTCCTGGCCGGTCGGGACCTGCCACAGCCGGACTGTCCACCGCACGCAGCCGTGACGTCAGAACCACCTACCCATCCCCCAAGCCATCCCTTACCCCCACGCCTGCGGCCCACAACGCACACACCACACTCAGCAGTTTGCGGTGCCCGTGAACACCCCTCTGGTACCTATGCTAGCTCAGTTGTTTTGCTTTTTAGTTTATACATAAAAATAGAAGCACACCCAGATCACGGTATAAGTATATAAAAACCGTTTTTTTTTTTGCCTTACTTCTTACTTCAGGTACCTTACCAGTACAGGAATTTTGATGGCCACCATGGCCATTGGCCTCAGGCCTGTAGGGTCCCTATGGCATCGAGCTCCTGAACTGAGGACTCTCGTGGAAGCTAATCTAGGAATTAGGATAGAGTATCTGATTCGGTTTCAGTAATTGTCCGGTCTGGTCTTGAATTGGTTGAGAGTGGATACCAGGATCACACAAGGAACCAAATCAGAACCAAACTGAACAAACCAGAATGGAACAAATCACCTCTCATGAACTAACCAATTGCTGCCTTGCCCCTGATCTTCAGCCCTCCAGGATGGACTCTCAGAAGTTCTGCCTCAAATGGGACTGGTTCCAGGGCAGCGTCACCTCCGTGTTTGACCAGCTCCGCTCTGGAGGGGTGCTGCTGGACGTCACGCTCTGCTGTGAGGGACAGCGTGTTCGGGCCCACAGGAGGATGCTGTCCGCCTGCAGTCCGTACCTCAGGGAACTGCTGAAGGTGGGTGATGGGGAATGTACCTACTAGAGTCCTGGAGAGTCATATGGGGCGGATGACACTGACAATTGACTTGAAAACTTTGATTGCAATGATTATTGTTATTCGAATATGATAGCAGTGGCATTTATTTAGTTATAATACTGACAAAAAACCTAAAAGGCTTTGAACTTTGAAGTGTAACAGTAGTTTACTTGGCAGTCTGCGCGCCCCTAACCCCCAACAAACAAACAAATGTAATTGTAGTTTTGCTTTAAAGAGTAAAAGACATGCTTTAAATCTAGCAGAGGAATGCATTTTCTTCACAGGCATCCTGAATAACTTAAATAGCGATTTGGGACGTCAAAATAACAAATATTACACTTGTTTAGTAGAACGAGAGCCGAACGTTCCTTCCGTGGGCGGGCAGGCGGGCCGAGAGCGCCGGGTCTGCGAGCCAATAGGGGTCATTTCACGCTTCGCTGGGTGGCTGCCTATGTTCTTGCAGGTAGTGGTCTTGTACCTGCAGCTCAGTGCTCACCCATAATGATACTCAATCAAGTAGTACCTATAACCGTAAAAACACTGACGCTCATTCCCCTTCCCTCTCAGGCTCGGCAGCTTATTCTCGGAGCTCCTTACCGATGACGGAGGAGAGTCCTCTCGCCGCTGCGGGAACTCACTGAACTACCCTCTCGCCCCGCGCCATCTGCGCCGTCCTCACCGCCGGCCGACCCGACCAACGAGAACGACACTGACGCCCTCCGGCACTGCTGGCAGAGGAAACTGAAGGAGAGCGTCGCTGCCAGACTACCCGGTGAGTGCGGATTCGAATCCCGAGAGGGGCGGGATTTTGAGGTGCGATTTTAGATTAGGTTCTCTGACACCACGCCGGTCTAGACTGACTAGGTGGTTAGTCATGTAGAAAAAGCAGCGTTATTTGTAATTCACTGAAAAGCTTTTAGCTACATCATAGTTCTTGCTTTGAGTAGATTTGTTTTGTGTCGGTGCGCTAAAATTTGGCCACCGTGATTGAAATCAAGAGACTCTTCTTGACCGTTCTAATTTTCACCATGGTGGTAAGTTAAAGACTTTTCATTATGTTTTTTTGTGTTCATTATGTTGTTTGTGTGTCAGATAGACTGAATTATTTTGATTTACGTGCGATCGGCGAGAGATACTTATCAGAAGAAGTTTTGTTACGGGCGTTTGCGTCCGCCCTTAGTCTGGCGCCGCCCATGTCGCCTCCCAGATGGGCGCGCCTGGCGCCGCCCCTGCCGCGTGACCCGGGGCGGGGTCAGCGGCTGGCTCCCGCGGACGGGCGGCGGCCCGGGAGGAACGTGTAAACGGCTGAGGCGAGCGGCTTGTTCCCTCGTGCTTTTGGTGCGTTCTGTCAGCAATACATTCAACGCATCGAGTACAAGCGTAATATACCCTCGCAATATGATTATCTACATCATTTTGTTTATCTTATATGGTGGTTTCCATTGGCCCCGCGTTTACCTGACTGACGTTTCCCTCTATTCTCCAACAGAGGGCACCTATCTTCACCAGCCGCCGTCCCGGTACATTTTCCCCGGAGCGGAGGTGCTGGTCGATCCTGACGACTCGGACAGTGACAGAGACTCGCTGGACTCGGAGCGCGGCAGTGACGATGAGGTGAGTTGGTGCTGGAGGGTGGGTTCGATTCCAGCCACGGGATACTGATTTTGCGTTTTTCATACTTAGGCGTTTTATTAAAGTTGCATGAATCAGCGTTGTTAATTGTTTTTATTGATATCGAATTTCGACCTTAAATTTCTGAGCTGCTACAAAATTGCTTTCTTTCGGCTTATTGTGTTGCAACTCAGCAATAGATCTCTTCGCATCTCATACGTCATATATTACAGGTTTCCTATAAATATTTTATATTTATAAACATCAGGGCATATCATTATGGTAATCATCCTAGTGCGTGTCACCACACATCATCTCGGAGCACATCAGGGCACTAACACCGCGCCCCTTCTCCTTCTCCAGTCTCCGACCGCTGAGGGCGACCATCTGAACAACTCCACGGATACTCCGGAGACGGCTGTCACTCCTACACACACCGACTCCTGTCCTCCAACGCCTCCTGGACGTACTGCAACCTCCGGAGCATCATCAGGAGCACCGGGAACGTCTTCTTCATCACCTGCTGAGGAGCAACCCTCGGCTACACCAGCGGTGAACCCTTCCTCGACATCTGATATCGATATGGAGCCAGAAACGGTGGGTTCGCCGGGCTCAGCCCTGAAAAGGCCGATCAGTGAAACACTAGGTGGAGAGGAGGGGAGCGGTGTGAAGAGACCGGCGTTCGGTGGCGGGGGTGAGCCTGGTGTGTCTCCCGCCACCGCCAAAACCGCCCCCGCCCCCGCCACCGCTGGAGACAGTGGTGGTGCGCAGAGTGCGTCGGAAAATGCCACCGGCGCAACTGAGGCGATCAGCTAATCTACCGCTTCGGGATTCGGTAGAACACACCGAAGTTGGGGTCAGTTTAGTGAGTTTTCACGCGAATACCTACATTGGATGGTGACCATAAAGATCTATTTTCATACAGTGTCCAGTGTGCGTTAACTAGCGTTGTGTCCTATGACTAGTGCAGTTTGACGGAGTTTGGATTCAGGAAGTGGAAATCATGAATCCGACCGATTCGGTTACAAATCAATCATGTGAACTGTTGTGAAGCTATGAGCCAATGGTGAGCTAATTTAGGGCTACGACCTCCATGGAGCTATGAGCCAGTGGTTAGGTTCATTGATATTTCAGCTAGTGGTGAGCTAATTTGGAGCTCGGGGTGAGCTAATTGGAGATCTGTTGACCAGGAATGATCTAATATGAGCTATATGAACCAGTGGTGAGCTATCCTGGAGCCCTGAGCTAGTGGTGAGCTGATTAATCCCCTTTGTCGGTATGTAGCCGAACACGCACCCACCAGATTACCCATTTTATTCGTGACATCATGAAACACCGGAAGTTTATTTTCTTCAGTACTTCTCCTCACTTTAATCATGTGTTTCAGAATAAAAATAACAATTTCTCTATCGATTTTGGTGATCGCTTTTATTTTTCCACTTATAACTGTTCATTTTTCAAATAATGGCATGTTTAGATACATGCATGCGGTACTTTCAATTCAGATTATATTTGATCGGAAATGCGATCATTTGATCGCGCCAGATGCAGCCGAACCTACAATTTTCTCTTTATCAAAGGTCAGGAACATATGATTATGAAGATATAAATGAATGTATAATAGGATGAACACCGCATAACCGTGCATGCGCGTCGTGCATTTATAATATTTCATATATCGCCATTGGAAGCGAAATGACCACACTATTGATGTGCCCTGAGAACCCAACAAACCAACAATAATATCTCATACACTCAGAAAATTCTTTCTGCGCCATTGGACTAGCGTCTGACACAATAGGATGGGAGCGAGCACTGTTTGGTGCTTGGGGTGATACCGGAAATAACTTAAACTAGATGGATGCTACTTTTCTGTGCCAGGCTGTAGGATGGCGCCACGCTATTTTTCTTTCATTTGATACGAGCGCTCCCTCGGTCATTGTCTGCTCTGAGAGGACTGGGCTGAGTCTGTCTCTTGAGGTGGCTCGTACGTTGACTTGTCTTTACCCCCGACCGTCCGTCATTGTACTTGCGGTTCGTCGGATTTACATATTTAGTGTTGGGCGGTGAGCTGAAGTCCTCGTCATGTCATCTGACACACGAGTCACCAGACGTTGTGGTGGTATTTCAACTAGAACATTCAGTGTTGGCACTCTTGTAGAGAATATGTGACCCGTTGGAGGGTTGGGCTACTTGGCCGATTAATTTTGATTTCAGTACAGTCCAAGTGAACTGGCGGCCCAGCGGAACAAACCGTACACTCCTGGGTACCCCGAACATACGGAACAGACGGATCCCGTGCCGCCGCTGGTGGAAAATCCACCTCCAGGTGACAGCCGTCGAGCTGGTCTTCTGCCGGCCACCACCCGCGCACAAGGATACAAGGCACGTGGTCAGTACCGCCGTCTGTAACATCACGAGATGACTTGACGTTGACCGCCGGTCCGACGGTGCTGATTTGTCCTTCTATAATAACCCGACAAAATTCCAGCATGAGCTTGCGCATTGTGTGGGCTGGTAGTGCCTCCAGTGAGGTTTAGTGCCTCTAGTGCCTCTAGTAAGTAGTAAGAATGGGCACTATTTGAGGTGGGTGCCCATTCTGTCCGTTACCGAGGTTCCGACATGGTGACACTTTGCGAGCCACAGGCCAAACGGTTGCACCTACTCGGTCTCACTCCCACTCATTGCACCCCATCGCCTCAGGCGGTCACGTGATGGCACACAGCCCAGTGGCGGCGCCAGGTACGCCGCAGCGGGGCGCTGGGTCAGTGCGCAAGGGCGGCACCAGGCAAACTACCACGGCCCCAGTGATGTTTCCCGGGAACCCCATTCCGGATAGGATGGTATTGGATCTTATATGCGGTCACTGGATCGCAGCAGGTGTTTGCCAAGGCTGCGCTTTCGCTGATAAATGAGCTCCAAGGTTGAGCAATGACTGCATAAATACGAAAAATGTAAATGTATTCATAATAACAAATATCACAACAGAACTGTGTTTACGCTATGTACCAAATATGTATTGTACCCTTACGAAGGGATACCGAAGAGAAGGGATACGAAGGGATGCCCATGCAGGGATAGCCGAAAGGCCACAGGAACTGGCCATATATGGAAGGGGGCGAGTACCATGGTGCCATGGTATACCATGGTACCATGTACCATGCCATGTGGCATGTACCGTGGTATACCACTCGTCGGGACGGCCGCGTTCCAGATCTGTCACGACCAGCCGTGGGCCGTGGTCCCTGCTCTTCCGACGGCCGTGGCCGGACCAAGTTCACGTATATAAATAAACATATGCTGGGCCGCGGCGCCCTTTTGTCCGCACAGCAGCTGTTTGTAGCAGCGTATCTGTTCCTGTCTTGACGAACGCGGCCTCAAAGGGAAAAGGCCTCCAAGCTGCATAAAACAACTCTGACTTATTGATGAATCTGTTTGGGACACACTGCCCGGGCCGTCTTGACGGTGGCCGTGATCGCCTTTACCCTGAAGGAGATCACGGTGCCGCCGCGGGCTGGAAGCCGGGGTTGGCCCCGACGACAACCACCCCACGCAGAGGCGGGCTGGCATTTTATTGTTTGCCCCACCACGCGCTCTCACGGAAGTGTCACGACCAAATGAACACATCGCGCTGTTTAAAGCGGAACTCGTCTTCAGATCCGCCTTTCTGTGCATCATGGCAACGATCACCTTTGTCGTGAGCTCGGATGCCTCAAGAATGTCACGGCGATTCCATGCTATTTTTGAAGCAGTGTGTCGGTCAGCAGAGCTCGTCTTCAGACTTGCGATCCTGTGCATCGTGCTTCTGGCACATAATTCTGGCTCACCATCACTGAGACTCATGACCGTCGTCCGGAACAACGCTACCAGCTCCTCCGCAGCCTCAGCGTTCATCTTGTTGGTCGGTTTGCCGGCTGCTGCTGATGCACCCACCACGCTGACAATGTCGCCACTAGAATCAGACTATCCTGGGTCAACTGTCTCAGGGTGCCACCTCTTCCTTTACCTCTGATGGCTCTGGCTTCTGAGCGGTGTCTTTCGCCCTCTCAGAGAACGCAACACAAAACTCCACGGGTGGAGCGGCCCCGCGACCGAGCCCCAAAGGCACCAGCCAGTGACGAGTCTCCTTTGACCACGCGGCGCACTTTGGCAGAGCGATATTGGCTCCCAGCCTGGCCTTAGCGCGCAGGCCTCAGGATTTACCATCCCCACGCATCCCACCCTCCTCGTATCTGTCTAGTTTTTACACGCACACATACACGGACTAGCAGACACCCACCTTTCGTCGTCGTCATATGACGGATAGCGGGACAGCTTGAAGCTGCCGTCAACACGAACACCGGCCAGCTCTTGCCCACATGATTCGCAAATCGCATGACATGAAGTCTGTACCCATCATCGCTTACTGCTCGAGCTCCATGTTTGCCCTTTCTGAACAGGCCTTCTCAAGCCGTTGGAGATCAATGGACGCCACTTGAGAATGAGTGAAGTGCTGTCAATTTGGTTTGTTTCTCCAGCATTTGTAAAAACGCTCTAAGCGGTCACAGGAGATGAAAACGGAGCTCCTTCCACGCGATGAGCACATTCTGCGTACCGTGAACATTTGGACGGGTGACGCCACAAATTAGCCGCAGCCGCTGGTCGCCATAACGGAAATAATTTCAATTCGTTACGCCACATGTTTTATGTGTGTTATGCTGCCAAAAGGCTTGTTATGCTATGCTAGCAATGCTGTTCGTGCTATCAATCTCGCTGTAAGAATATGTTATCAATATGCCTACTTTTGTTTGTGTAGGTAGACCTCAATGATCCAGCTTCCTATATTTCTTGGCTCTGCACCCTTTTCCATAGTTGTCATTCTGAAGGAGAAGGATCATCATTATCTTGTTGGCTTCCGAAATACTCCTGTTTTTCTGCTTCCAACCCTCATTTTGCCGTGACTTTTCTGTTGACTAAAGTGCAAATTGTAAATGCTGCCAGCAGGATTCTTAATACGATCCACCCGACCGTCTCGGTGGTGCTGAACAATGTCGTGAACGCCTTGCGGCTCCCCGGGCATTAGGACCGCTACCTCGCCGGTCTCCGGCAGGTTAAAGCGGCGCTTGTGTTCCGTGACGGGCCGACGCTGTGCGCTCAGAACGGCTCTGAGTGTCTGTTATTCTCGACGCACCATCTCAAGGTGCCTCCAGGGGGTGCCTGACTGGAGGCTCGGTCAGAGTCGGGCACACAACACCCTCGATTGTGGTCACATCGGGTGCGCTGGCGTGAGCAGGTCCTCCCCATCACCCTGGGTGAGGGCAGGGCGCGCAGATTGACAAAGAACGCCACCTCATAAAGAACGACAGACAGTTGTTCAAAGGAGAGATGACAGAGGTGCAACGATGCACGCAGAGCCACCTTCGTCACACCGACCATGCGCTCCCAAAAGCCTCCCTACCATGGGGCCGATTCAGGGATGAACCGCCAGGTGACGCACCTTGGGAGCTGACCCAGCAGCGCGCGAAAGGTTCTCGCGTTATCGCTGTAGATCAGCACTGGTGCCCTACGAAGCGCAAAGAACCGCCTAAGGGCCAGGACGGGGCCGGCTGTGGAATGAACCAGCTCGGATGTGGAATGAACCAGCCCGAGGTGGCCCAGATGACGAGAAGTACTCATACCTTGTTAGCGCTGCCGTCCACGTACATACTCAGAAACGGAGCCAACCGGCTAATCATATTCCATGAACTGGGGATCATCATGCGCCTCAGAGTCCGGAGAGTCGTGAGCTCTCGCCTTCCTACCTAAACACTAACCTGCCTACCTACAAACTAGCCAGATCGCTCGGCGCTTGCCGCCGTCGGTCCTGTAATTGTTGTCTTTATTGACTCTGGCCAGCGGCCAAGCGCTGCAAGCTTCCCTGCAAGGCTTTTGAGGAACCCCTAAAGGTCATTTGTCTTCGTTGAATTGGGTATCGTTGAACTCAAAAACGAGAATCGCACCACATGAGCCATGAACCCGTATACTTTTCCAAAAATTGTTTTTTAACAACCCTACTATACATACTGCGCCATCCGCGGCTACTTCTTTGGGGGATTGGTGTTATGTGTAGTAACTTTACGCAGATGAGGTACCCAGTTATACTGATGCAGGGCATTGTGTAGAATTGGGCGAAATGATAAAATATGCCCCCCAGATCAAAAGTTGGCAGACCGCCGAGGTCAGCTCTTTGAACTTGACAACCGCCTCATTCTCGACGTAGAGTGTGCCATCTGGAAAGTACGGCCAGGTTCTGGGGATGACTGGGAACACAGCTCCGTGCCGTGAACACAGCTCCGTACTCTCGGTACAGCAGGTGGTCGACTGCATCGTCTGCAAAGCGTCGAAGCCATAAGATCAGTGTCTTTTGCCGGGCTGCCTGGCTCAACGACCG